GAATACCAAGAACCTACAACCAAGATTACTTTATCCAGCAAAGCTATCATTCAGAATTGAAGGTCAGATAAAGAGCTTCACAGATAAGGAAAAGCTAAAGGAGTTCATCACCACCAAACCAGGATTATATGAAATGCTGAAAGGTGTCCTTTAAGAAGAGGAAGAGGAAGAAAAAGGTAAAGATACAAATTATGAACAACAAATATGCATCTATCAACAAGTGAATCTAAGAATCAAGTGAATAAATAATCTGATGAACAGAATGAACTGTTGATTATAATAGAATCAGGGACATAGAAAGGGAATGGACTGACTATTCCTGGGGGGAAAGGGGTGTGGGAGATGCGGGAAGAGACTGGACAAAAATCGTGCACCTATGGATGAGGACAGTGGGTGGGGAGTGAGGGCGGAGGGTGGGGCGGGAACTGGGAGGAGGGGAATTATGGGGAGGAAAAAAAGAGGAACAAATGTAATAATCTGAACAATAAAGATTTAATTAAAAAAAAAAAAAAAAAAAAAAAAAAAAAAAAAAAAAAAAGAAAAATATCCTTGAGTGAGGATTAACAAAAAAACCACACACAAAGAAACAAAAAAATGGGGAGGGTCAAGGGACCCAAAGGGTTGGTTTCCTGGCATGAGGTTATTTCTCTGAGATTCTATATCTATCTATCTACCTCCCTCCTTCCTTCCCTCCCTATCTATCTACCTATCTATTATCTATCTATCTATCTATCTATCTATCTATCTATCTATCTATCTATCATCTATCTATCATCTATCTCTATCTCTCAAGAATCCCTCAGTAAGAGGGAGACACCCATGGGCCCTCTGACTTGATAATCAACTCACTAATAGCTGTCTTTCAGGTGATGGTACTCAGAGAGGGACATCCATCCCTCCAAACCTTTCTAGGCTGTGCAAACTTGGTCAAGTTTCTTAACCCCTGTGCCTTAACTTCCTCATAGGTAGATGGGGACAACAAAAGTGTCGGCCTCATAGGATAAGGATATTTTAAATGAGTCACTACTTGTAATGGATTTAAACAGTGTGTGGAAGGAAGGAACTATTACAAATATATTCTGTTTAAAGATAAACATTTCCCATGTGCCTCAGATGAGATACTGGCAAATGTCCTATTGGGCGGGGGAGGGGGGAGAAGCAAGCAGGCAAGCCAAAGGAAAGGAAAGGAGGTAAATTTATTTATCTTAATTCAGTGGTAACAGGGGAAAGATATAGTGGCCACTGGGATGACTGGGGTATTCTCAGCAGAACAAGGAGGACAAAGACTGAATTTCTAAAATTTTATTTTTCAACCACAGTTTATAGTCAACACCATTCTGCACCCATGTCAGATGCACAGCAAAGTGGCCAGAAAACCATGCACCCTACAGAGTGGGCCCTCGCTTCCCACAGCACCCACCTGGCCCCACACCCAGTTATCTCAACATTATTGGCTGTGTTCCCCATACTGCAATCCGAATCTCTGGTTATTCTGCAACTACCAATAGGTACTGCTGAACCTTTTCACCCTTTTTAAAAAATATACTTTTTAAAATTGATTTCAGAGAGAGAAAGGGTGAGGGAGAGAGAGAGAGAGATAGAAACATCAATGATGAGAGAGAATCATTGATCAGCTGCCTCCTGTATGCCCCACACTGGGGATCGATCCTGCAACCTGGGCAACTGCCCTGACAGGGAATCAAACCGTGATCTCCTGGTTCCTAGGTCGACACTCAGCCACTGAGCCACACCGGCCGGGCAACCTCTTCACCTTTTTCACCCAGCTCCCCAACGCCCCTCCCCTCTGACAGCTGCCAGTCTGTTCTCTGTATCTATGAATCTATTTCTATGTTGTTTGTTTATTTTGTTCATTAGGTTCCACATATCAATGGGATCGTATGGTATTCGTCTTCCTCTGACTGGCTTATTTCATTTAGCACAATACTCTCCAGGTCCAAAAGCCAAATTTGAAATGAAATAGTCAACAGCTCCATTTTCAGAGCAGTGTTTCAGAAACTCAGGCATCTTCAACTTCTGAGACACTTCACGCTGGTTAGAATACAGCATGTCATCTATGTAATGGATATATGAGGGCCATCTGGTCGACCACCTTATACTCAAGGACTGGAGAGCAACATAGGTCCACACTGGGAGTCTGGGAAAACACTTCTCTGTTAAAAGAAATCGTTGCATGGCTCATAGGCGAGAATATTTGCTCTTGAGAGTAAAAATATTCCTTACCATAGCATGTTTTACAAGGGAAATTGAGATGGCGTGTCCAGTGTTCAAAGTTTTCCTCCCTCCCTTCCTTCCTTCCTTCCTTCCTTCCTTCCTTCCTTCCTTCCTTCCTTCCTTCCTTCCTCCCTCCCTCCCTCCCTCCCTCCCTCCCTCCCTCCTTTCCTCTCTCTCTCTCTCTCTCTCTTTCTTTTGTTAATCCTCATCTGAGGATATTTTTCCATTGATTTTTAGAGAGAGTGAAAAGGAGGGAGGGAGAGAGAGAGAGAGAGAGAGAGAGAGAGAGAGAGAGAGAGAGTGCTGTGAGCGAGACACCTGAATCAGTTGCCTCCTGCTCTGATCCTGACTGAGGCTGGGGATCAAACCTGTAACCCAGGTACCTGCCCTTGACTGGGAATGGGACCCATGATCCTTCAGTGCATGGGCCAACACTCTAACCACTGAACACACCAGCCAGGGCCTATATATATATATAAATATATATATATATTTATAAAAAATATATATTTTATATATAATATATATTATATAATATATATATATATATATATATATATATATATATATATTTTGTGTGTGTGTGTGAATATTTGTGTGTGCATGTGTGTTTTTCTGTGGCTATTTAAAGAATGCCAAACTAAAAAAAGAAAAGAAAGTAAAGAATACTGAACTGAGACTTCCTGAATAGTCCACATTGTGTAACCATCCTTTGAGGTCAAGTTCCCCAAAGGGGTTTGTTGATTTGAATGTGATTCACATCTTATATTTGCACACATGTTGCAAACTGCTCTCCAGAAATTCTGCACAACTGCCAACTTCTTACTTTTTAAAAAAAACAAAACACAAATGTAGTTTTGAAAGTCACAGAGATAGAAGAAGTGGGTGGGAGAAGAAATGGGCTCAGGAAACACGTGATAGAGGCAAAAGAAGAGAGAGAAGGGTAAGGGAGCTTGCCAAGGAGGAAGAAGAGGGGAAGGGAAAGGCAGGGGCGTGTTCCTAGAAGAGAGAGCAGCAACTTCCTCCTCTGAGTCAACCACAGAGCGGGTCAGCTGCTGCAGCCTCTGGGTAGCTCTAAAATCTGCTCTTTCCTTCCACACCCACGGCCTCACTTGAGCTCAGACTGACCTTCTCTGATATGGCTTCTTTCACCAGCCTGCAAATGGTCTCCCCTCTCCTCAGGTCCCTTTCAGTCCCGTCTCCACTGTGGCCTCCAGGGAGATCTGTCTCAGACACCATTTGGATGCATCGCTGCTCCATTCAACACTCCACCTTCATTCCAGCCCCTCCCCCTGTTCTTTTTCCCTCATTTAATTTAATTTTTTTTTAATTCTTAAATTTTTGGAGCAGGGCCCGGACCTTTTCGCGTGTCTGACCTTCCTACCTGTTTCTATGTGGCCCCTTCTGTAAATCCTTGACTCTAAGACTCCGCCTCAGCTAGTCTTCAGTTGGTTCTTCAGGGTGGTTGTCCTTAATTAATCAAAAATATGTTTCTTGTTGATTTCAGAGAGGAAGGGAGAGGAATAAAGAGAGAAAAACATCCATGATGAGAGAGAATCATCGATCGGCTGCCTCCTGCACGCCCCACATTGGGGATCGAGCCTGCAACCTGGGCATGTGCCCTTGACTGGAATCGAACCTGGGACCCTTTGGTCCGCAGGCTGACGCTTTATTCATGAAGCCAAACTGGCTAGGGCAAGTTGTTGTCTCTTGACTGTCTGTATGAGAACTAAGGATTTGATAAATTATACTGTTTCCTGACTGATGTCCTCAGCTGTGTGAAGAAGCTGTAGGATCAATCTTTAACCATTCTCCTCCAGCTCCCCGCTTTCACAACACTTAAACTCTGCCATCATATATAATACGTAAGTAAACATGAGTGGTCATGTTCCAACAAAACTTTAATTATGGTTCTGGCTGGGGAGCTCGGTTGGTTAGAGCATCATCCTGATACACAAAGGTTGTGGGTTCCATCCCTGACAGGGCACATACAAGAATCTGTACTAATAAAAGGGTAATATGCTAATTAGACTGGATAGATTGGATGTCTTCCAGACGTCCTTCTGGACAAAGCCACGGCGGTGCGGCTGAGGCAGAGATAGTTAGGGGTGATCAGGCTGGCAGGGGAGAGTGGTTAGGGGCGATCAGGCAGGCAGGCAGAGTGGTTAGGGGTGGTCAGGCAGGAAGGCAGAATGGTTAGGGGTGATCAGGCAGGCAGACAGGTGAATGGTTAGGTGCCAGTGGTCTTGGATTTTGAGAGGGATGTCCCGGATTGGAGAAGGTGCAGGTTGGGCTGATAGACCGCCCCCACCCCCCATGCATGAATTTCATGCACCAGGCCTCTAGTTAACCAATAAGTACCTAAATAAGTGGAACAACAAATTGGTCTCTCTCTCTCTCTCTCTCTCTCTCTCTCTCTCTCTCTCTCTCTCTCAATACTTATTTTTGAATATATATATATATATATATATATATATATATATATATATATTTAATTTTAGAGAGAGAGAAAGGGAGGGGGATAAAGAGAGAGAAAAACATTGATGTGGGAGAGAAACATTGATCTGTTGTCTCCTGTACTCACCCCAACTGGGGATTGACCCCACAACCTAGGTGTGTGCCCTGAATGGGAATCAAACCTGCAACCTTTTGGTGTGCACTCCAACCCACTGAGCCTCCTGGCCAGGGATAGACCACACATTTTTGACAAGAGAAATGGTTTTGGGATCTGTTCTGTGCATGCTGTAATAGAAAAGCTGGCACAAGGATGATTTAAGTATATTTGTTTAATCAATGAGAACATACAAACATTACTCTGCCATCGTCCCAATAACCCAGGAGGGTCCCAGGAATTGATGGGCAATTATGGTAGAGATTCTGGAACTGACTGGGTGATAATCTCCAGATTCAGGGGGCTCGGGGCCTTCTTTCTGGGTGACGTGGGTGGGTCCCCTCAGCCCACCTGACAGCCTCAGATTTAGAAGCAATGATGCCAGAGGAGGGACCTTGCAACTGGTAGCTCTGAGTCCTACTGTCCAGAGCACGGCTCATCTCAGCATGAGTGTGGCATACTCACTGGCCTGGGCAGGCTTGGGCAGCAAGGAGGGGGCTGAAGCTGTGCCGTGGGTGGGGGCATTGAAGGCCACTTGGAAATAGGTGACATCCTGTGGGTCTCTAGCTTCAGAGGCCTGAGGGAGGAAGGGAGACTTTGATATGATGGTGTGATGTTGGGGACCAAAGGAATTGTTGAGGGGCAGAGTAGAGGAGGAAACGCTTACCAGTCCGTTCATGGGTTCCACTTCCTGTGGCTGT